TTTTTTTTGGGAGATGCTCTTCAGGTTTCGTATGCGAAATTCTCTGGAATGATCGAAAGGCAGTTTGATTAGTAGTAGTAAGTGGTGACAGCTTCACCGCATTCGCTTATATGTCTTCTTCTTTAGCTGCAAAACCGAAGAAATGAGTAGAAGAAAGGAAATGCGATACCATAATAACTTCCTCCTAAAGACAGTTTTCTTGAATGAAACTTGGTTAGCAGAGAAGACAGTAAGCGCTGAAACACAGAAAATATCGTTTTCTTATACTGGGTTATTTGGTACTTTAGACATGCAAATAACTATTCTACATTTTCGAAGCGCATCCTTGCTGCAGAAGAGAGCACAAAGGAACCAGCATCAAGGTTAAGAGACACTTCTGGGGAAAGTTTCCTCTATAAGAGAACTCGAATATTTAATTGCATCCATGTAAACATTACAGGAAACAACAATAACTAGGCAATCTCAGCCGAAATGAGGCAGATTTAAGTGGAGTTATTTTTATATTGTGTACTGTTATAACGTCTCTTCACTTGCCACTGTATCTACTATTTCCAACGATTGGTAAACTTACGAAAATGATGCTCACGAACTAAAGCGAGCTTTAGCTTTGCGAGCTGAACCAACCGATCCTCTTTGTTGCAAAAATAGTTCTGTCAGCAACCTCTACTGGTTCGTGGGCGGCATGGCTGTGGTCAGTTCGGCACTTGGCGATAACGCTATTTGTGGATAGTTTTTTTATCATTCGACAATACCGCCGGAGGTAGATATGATAACGAGTTCCTCGATACTGCCTAAGTGACCGCTACCCTTAATCGATCGCTGTTCGCTGATGAGCACAGCTCACCTATACTTTCCTTAGGTACTGTAATGACTCGATTGCCTGTGGGGAGCCTTGGTTGCGCATCGTCGCTATTTGCCTCTTTTGAGGAGGCTTCAAGCAAAATTGTGTAGTAAAATGTGCACAAAGCGTGTGAGAAAGCTAGACGGAAGTCTGACTCTTTTTGGCGGTGTTTTCAATTGAATCTGTCTGAGACAGCATACTTATCACAAGCAAATAATCACCAGCGGATTTTACTTCGCGAGCAAAGCGATGCCTGTCACGAAGGACTGACTAGCACATATTGTGAATTACCACATGTTAGTTCAGCTCATTTATTCTTTTTGAGTCTGAGGTGGTGATCGAGCTGTTGCCACTTCTTTGAATACTTCAGAAAGATTAGACAGATAAAGCTGTACGCTAACTGTAAGTGTTACTGTCAGTTACACAATTACGCAGACCTGCTTATTATCCTTCTGTTGGCTAAATCGCAGTGTGAGGCTCCGCCCCAGCTGGGGACCATATTGTCGCGTACCATCGTAGCCAGCCCCGTTCCTCAATCACTGCGTTTGATTCTTCCAGTCTCTGCTTGAGCTATGAAGTATTCTTTGATCCATTTCCAGAATGTTTTTCTTCGAAACAATATATTTAAGATATTCACTAAGCACTTCTACAATATCCCTCTTCTTACCTTCATAGTTTGGCTCTAGTTCCAATCGTGCTTTAAGTACTTAATAAAGTACTTTATTCATTATGTCAATAAGTTTATTGAAAAACAGGATATTTAGGTGATGAGTTTTGATGGGTTCTCTACACACTCATCCTCATCATCTCATGTCTCTTCGTCATTTCACGACTTCTCAAGCCTCAGCGAACACTCTTTCGACCAGCGGT